TAGTGACAGTAACAATCTTACTAGTAATGTAGTAGTGCATTATACTTCACACTGCTCCCGGCGACTGCAAGCTAATAACTCATTCCACGTTCCACTACTCCCACAATTCATCCCATTGACTAAGAAGTTCATGGTGAACATTTTCGATATATTTATACACAAACACACACACACATATATATACATATATGTATACACATATATACATATATGTATACATATATATACATATATGTATATATATATGTAAATGCACACACACACACAAATACATACACAAACACACACACACAACGCACACGCACACACACGCACACACACACACACACATCACACACACACACACACACACACACACACACACACACACACACACACACACACACACACACACACACACCACGGCCACACACACACAATCGGCAACAACACGCAATTTTCTTACTAGCATGAGTGGTTGATCGTTTTTCCCTCTTTTAAATTCTACGCGCTGATTGGTTACGTTCAAAGGTCACATCTATGAGTTAGTGAAATTGAGCCCAAGAGTCTAATAGATTATAACTATAATGAGTATAACTTCGCTTGCGAGGAGACGGGTGTCGAGGCGTTGCTGACGTAACTCTAGCGAATACGAGGTTTCCTGTCTTGATTATGGTAACCTTAATGTAACCTTGTGCACGACGCCAGTAAATGGTTTGACGATTTTTTATATTTTGTGTGAAAGAAACGTACTGAAATTGTTTGTAGAATTAGAAAAAAAAACACTAAACGATAATGTAAGATAATAAAAGATAATAATATCTGCACTAGCTTTATGTGGGTTCCATCACATATCGGAATAAGTGGAAATGAAAAAGCAGATAAGCTAGCCCAAGAAGCGGCACCAAAAATGCATTTTGCTATCAGTTCATCTATGCAGCAAAGAAGAGGAAAAATAAAGACATGGATAAATAGGAAGAATAGAGATGAAAGGAAACTCAGTCAGAGTAACTCAGTCAAAATGTACAATCAGGTAGCACGATTAAGGTTAGGATACAAGTACCCTTGGGAGTGCAATATTCCCAAGGAAGACTCGCTTAAAAAGTCTAGAGTATGTGGTGAAAGATTAAGACATAATTTGTAACACTCTGTAATGGAATGTTAATACACAGACCCTCTCAGAAAGGGTGTTAGAGAAATGATACCAATGACAAAGCATATGATTAATGTAATTGATAACATTTTAAGGATACATAAACAATTTGCATCTGTAAAATAATATAAACACAATTGTAAAGATCTTGCCCAAGGATCTATAAAGTGCTATATACCTAGTCACTCCAAAGGAGTTGGGTATGTTTGGGTAATGTATTATTTATCCAAATAAATGCAAATCAAATAAATTCTCTCTCTCTCTCTCTCTTTATGACAATCCAAGAACTCCCATTTATCTTTGCCTTTATTTTCTATGCAGCAAAATGCTCGTCGTTCTTGTAACTTTCGCGGTTCTGGTACCGACGGCCCTGGCAGGTCGTGACGCCGCCGCGCCCTTAGTTGAAGTGGCGGAAGGGCGTGTGTTGGGCGTTGACTGAGCCTCCACGAAGGGCAGGGATACATCTACTACGGCATCCCTTCGCCAAGCCTCCTTGGGGAACTAAGGCTCAGGTTGGTGTGAAAGAGAGTGAGATATACTCTGCCTCGTAAAGAAAGATAAATGGGGAAAAAGACAAAACGCATAAATAATTGCGCTGTGATGCGATTTTCTATAATGACTTTGAGCATCTTAATCTTCAGACGATCATGTTTGTTATCCTGTTAGTCAGCTACAATCAAGTTTAGGTATAGCTGCCGACAGGCATTTTACAAATTAGTGAACTGAAAAGGTAGGTTTAAAAGTGGCAAAGTAGCAAAATCCTTATTGTTAATATATAATCTTCATTTTACTTTCGTCTGACTGGCCCAAATTAAAACTAGACGAAAGTAAAATGTCGTCAATACGTAGCTAGTGCCTTTGCAATTGGTTCAAAGTAAACGACTATGACCAGCATGATCTTTACTCCAGGTTGTCTCTAATTTCAGCATACTATTTTTTTTTCTTTTTTCATCGAGGCTCTATGAAAGTGGTTCTCAATCTTTTGATTTTGTGACCACCGACCATTTTATAATTATCCCTCAGTGTGTGTCATCTTCTTTAATTGTTATTACTTATGAATAGTATAATGGTGTCTCAAAACTAGAGACAAGACACTTTATGGAAAGATTTACAATTCACTGATATGTGAGAGGAATGGTATGTAGGTCACTAGTAGATAAGATGGATTTCAGTTAATTCGACGTCATCCATTTACATGACTGTTCCATGGCCCTTCGGAAGTACCCCAGTTGGAAACTCAAGCTCTATTAATCATTTAGTCCTCTCGTCAGATCGTGAACTGGACCAGAGAGAGGCCAGCCAGGCTTGAAGAATGGTAGCAGCGTCGGTCAGTCGGCACAGTCAATCAATCATCAATCACCCAAGGTCAAAAGTAACGAGATCTCCGCATCCTCCTCTCCAGGACCCGGTGCAGGCAGAGCGGTGGGAGGGCGTGAGGGACGGATCCAGGACAGCCCTCGCCGTGCCTCCTCGTGCCCTTGGCTAGCTGCCATGGAGTGACTCTGGCCCCGGAGGACCGCGTGGGCCAATGAAGACTGCTTGTTACCTCAACGGTGTTTTCACGCGAGGTAATTCAGAATGTTTTTTTTTCATGTTACTTACGGTATTTTTTAGATTTTTTCTTAGTGGTTATCATGTCTTTCTTTATTATGTTTTATTAATTTCATCTTTGCCTTTTGTTTTTTCATCCTGTTATTATTCTTTCGGTTATTCCTGATATTGGGATTTTTATTCATTTTGATTTTTATGTTGGCGTCTTATTTTTCCTTCATTATTATCGTTTTGCGATTGCCTTACGTTGTGATTTTTAATTAAGTTCATTCCTTCCTATTTGTCTTATTTTGTTTTCATATTTGCAATTACAAATACACTGTCATTTTCAATTCATTATTTTTTTCTTTTTCTTATTCATCGTTATGATTGATTTTCTTTAATTCTTCTTTATTTAATTGTTATTTTATTTATTTTATTTTATCTTTTTATTTTTTTGCCACAAACGGAAACTTCCAAGACTACCCTGTGATGGTGTGGATCCACGGGGGAGCCTTTACCGGCGGGGGGCGCATTACGAGACCGGCCTCATGTCCTCATGAACCACGACATTGTACTCGTAGTTTTACAGTATAGGGTCGGCATCATGGGTAAGTGGTGATTGATTTCAAGTTTCTTTGGAATTTGAATGTTCACTTTATTTTTATTTTTTATCTCTCTCTCCATTTCACTTTTCTCTCCCTCCTCCTCGGCCTTCCTCTCTCTTTCTTCTCTCTCTCCTATTTATATTATATATATAATACTATATATATAAAATATATATATATATATATATATATATATGTGTGTGTGTGTGTGTGTGTGTACTTCATAGAATTTAACTCTTTGCAGCGATTAGCGTCTCCCCATGCTCGGCTGTGCACTGATTGATTTACCATGGGGAGTGGTGTGACTGTGTGTTGTGCGTGGTGTGTGTGTGTGTATGTGTGTGTGCTGTGTGTGTGTGTGTGTGTGTGTGTGGTGTATAAATAAATAATAATACAAAGTATATATATATTATAATATATATATATAATATATAATATATATATATATATATTATATTGGAGGAGTGCTCATTTTTCACTTGAAAGTATGTTCTCATTCCGCACTCTTTCAAATGTTCTTTCTAGGATTTTCTATCCACGGAGGATTGAGGTTGCTTCCCGGAACTTTGGGCTGAAGGACCAGACCCTCGCCTCGCTGGTGCAGGGACAACATCACAGTTTCGGAGGAGGACGCTGACAGGGTCACCAATCTTCGGGGAGAGTGCTTGGGGGCGCCTCGTACAATTATCAATATGTCACCCAATTCTAAAGGTGAAGTGAAGTTTCCTCGTTTTTAAAAAAACTTGAAAACTTTTCAAAACTTGTCCTAGGGTTTTACATCATTAGCCTAATTAAGCTACTGCTGTCTATAAGTTTCACAAAAGGTCCTTTTGATACATTTCATTAGGCCTTTCTCTCGCGCCATCATGCAGTCAGAGGTCGGCCTTGGCCCATGGGCCACGCCACGAAGCAGCACAGGACGTGTGGCGAAGGAAGTTAGGCAAAGCCGTCGGTTGCTCCAAAAAAAAAAGCCTTCGGGTCACAAACGTTATGAAATTCTTTGACTGTCTTCAGGAGGTAGACGGTCGCAAGTTGGCCGCAAGTTCCAGATTTCATGGTGAGTTAGAAATTTACCTTGGCCCATACATTTGGAAATTACTGATTTATTTTAAAGTCAACGACCTGTTTGTATAAAAGATCATGCTATTTTACTTATATACTTACTGTTTCAGGAATGGTTCATCTTGCCAAGGCAGTCGCCTGCCTCTTGTTGATGGGGACTTCGTACCGGAATCTGCCCGCGCGTCTGATGCAAGTCGGAGCCTTCAACCAAGTGCGACCCTCATGGCTGGAATCACAAGAAGACGAAGGAGCTCTAGTAACAAAACCGCTTAGTAATCTTTTGCAAGGATTACCTGGGAATTTTGTAATTTTTCTTTCGGTGGCATAGTGTGTTTCCTAAGTTGGAGGGGATTATATCAAGATGTCTTACCGTCCATACTGGCGTAGTTTTAGAAATCTTCTACAGAATTTCCTTAGGAATCAGAGTACTGACTTTGCAGCATATTTTTAGACGTTAATGCTGATCTCTCTATAAGAACTGAAGAATCCATTTCGCCAAGGTTAATAGAGATTTTTTGGGGGGATGGGGGGAGTGTTTTCTAAAAGAAGGGAGATCATTAGAATTTCAGATTACCAACGTTTTTTTTTTTTTTTTTTTTTTTTTTTTTTAACAAGGAAACTGAGGATAAAGGACAAAATGAAAAAGATATATATCACCTAAGCAAATTATCGGCCTCTTCATCCACAGCAATGCTAGCTCGAAAGGACCTCTTTCCTGCCTTACAAAACAACTTTCCTGTCTTCGGCCCAGTTAGCCTGATGGTCAGGCCTGAAATTGACGATGCCTTAGTCTTTAGCACCAAGGTCTACCAACACTACCTTGGCAACGCAACTATCGATCGTGACCACATCAAAGAGCTAACTAAGGTAACGAACCATTTGTGTCTAATTTTAATTTTACCAATTTTCCATTTACGTCGATCTATTGTTTGTTTCAGGTTGGCTACTTATAACAATATCAGGAGTATTTTATTTCAGAACATGTCCTTGACATAAGTAAGCCTATTTCTCACATTTCTTTCTTCATTACCGTGATTACATTTAGTAATTCTGCATATAAACCATATTGCTTTGCTCTTATCATAGGCTTTAATCACACAATATAACATTCCTACGAAAATTTATATTCCCAGATGAACACAGACTACTCTTTTGCCGTACCACACGACCTGACGACCCTCTACCACGCTCGGGTTCCTGGTCTTGCTACTTACCGCTACGAGCTGAAGCACCGATCCCAGTTGTCCATGGGAGATTTCTTCAAGACGAATATAGGGCGTCAATGTGAGTTGTGACTGATAAGTGCCATAGTGTCATTTCGTAATTTCTCCTATTGCAGGAAGAAGTTCCTTTGATGTACCATTGTTATCATTTTAATCACATTCTTAATGTTCAACATAAATTTTAAATGAAGGGTAGCAAATGAAGTATGCAGAAAGACTGGGCATTGTGTGGAAAGTAGCTTACACCAACGTTTACAACTCATTATCATCAGAACAAGACATTGCATTTTATTCTCAAATGAGAGGAATATGTTGAATGTTCAATACATCTCATCAGTCGAACAAAGAATTCCAAAATTTCTTGAAATATGCTACAGAAAGTTTTAAACCAATAAGTGAGACGATTGATCTTCGTGTTCTATGCATAGAGAGATTGAAATAAAAGAAAGCCTCTTCTTTTGTGGTTAAGAATGAAAAGTATGAATGTTTTTAAAAAGTAAATTTAAAGCATTTTTTTCAAAATTGCATCTTTCATAATATTTCATAAGTATATAGATAGATACATAAGTCGATAGATAAATGAATGCATCCCTATTTTGCAACGTTATTTTCTGTACTAAGATAACCCAACAATTCCTAATGCAGTTGCTGATATTAAGGGATAAAATGTATTCACATGAATGTTGGAGAAGCCGTTACTATAATGAATATAATTGGTTCGTGTATTGCAGATTGGAATATATATGTCATACACGCTAATCCTGTGCAGTTGTTAAAATCGATAATGGCAATGAACCACCATGTTCGTCACAGCACAGAGTATGCCTAGTTGGGATAGACGTCATGGACTCAAAAGGTTCAGACAGGCATCTGCAAGGTAGACTGAAGTATTGCAGAAACGAAGGAAGATTCTTTTTTCAGTACATTAGAATCTTGCAATATCCTGCTAGTCAGCTTGTGATGGTAAATACAAAAGCAGACTAAGAAGTCTGTACGATTCCTCCTTATTCTTTCCCAGGGATTTCTCATGGCGACGACCTGTACTACTTATTCGCCGGCGGGCCGCTCCTCAACCCCAGCAGCCTGCCAAGCCGCCCGCGGGATCTGCAAAGCGAGGAGGACCTCCGCCTCAGAGACATCATCACGACTATGTGGACGAACTTCGCTGCCACGGGGTAACTTTTTTCGTGTATGCTCATGGGTGTGTCTCATACATATACTTATCCGTGTATCTACTTAGTTCTATCTATACACACGTACACAATGATTCCTGACCTCCCCCTCCCCCGTTCTCTCCCTCAGCAACCCCACCCCTGACGATGCCCTGGGCTTCAAGTGGGAGGCAGCGACCGAGGACGACCTCCGCTATCTCGCCCTTACGCCCTTCCCCGTCATGGAGGCCGACCAGCGACAGGAGGTGAGTGACTTCTTGTGAATGATTAACCAGAACCTTTGTGAATTATCTATTAATCCCTCACTTCCTGTATACTTTCCATTTGCCTCTTCACCGGTCTGGACATTAACATATAAAATAGACATGTATCTACAAAATCATACCATTTTTTGCGTGAGCTCACCTTCGCACATTTTGCCTCTCCTTCAGGTGCGGGATTTTTATGCTTCTCTGCCAACGAAGATGAATCAAATTCACTATTCTGATGGTGGCGTCTACAGGGAAGAAAGTTCCTGTCTCGTATGCCAGGAAGACCTGTAAATCCATTATTGGCTGCCACGTGCAATGCTTCCTTTCATTGAAATTATTGTAACGATACAGTGCATTTATCGGTTTACAGTAAGAGTTATCTTAGTATTATATTTTACCCAGTTTTTTATTACTATTGTTATGACTGTATCCCATACATATATATATATATATATATATATATATATATATATATATATATATATATAGGGAAAAGTCCCTCCCACCCAGCAAGTGAGGTGGACTGTGGGCCCTGCTGGGAGGGCGTCTGCTCGAGCGCAGGCTGGGAACGAGAACTACTCGTCTCGCCTGCGCTCTGGTGGCCGCCAGCCCAGAGTGAAGCTTGTGGGGGAAAGCCCTCAGGAACCCCACAGGTGGATGATGGGGCACGCAGCCCGCCACCCCCTTTTATATGGGGCAGCGTCGGTGGGGGTGGCAGAGGTGGCATCCACTCGGAGCGACTGCCAGAGGCTGAACCTTAGGCAGGAAGTCAGGGTGGAGGCTTGGAACGTCCGTTCTTTGCGTCAGGATGATCGGTTGCCTCTACTGTCGAGGGAACTGGGGAGACTGAGAGTTGAGGTGGCTGCTCTCTCGGAGTTGAGGAGGCCTGGCAGCGGCATGACCTGTGTAGGTGGCTACACAGGTCGTGCCGCAGCGACGGCCACCATCTCCATGGAGTAGCCATTGCCATCTCCAGCAGACTCCAGCCTTCGGTAGCAGAGGTTACTCCTATTGATGAGCGTATAATGGTATTGAGATTGAAGCTATCTTTTGGCTTCATGTCTCTTATTGCTGTGTACGCTCCTACCGATGTTTGTAAACTTGACGTGAAAGAGATGTTCTACACCAGACTTACATCTGGGGTAGACAGATGTCCCTCGCGAGATATTCACATTGTTCTGGGTGACTTCAATGCGGTATCTGGCTGTGATCGAGCTGGCTATGAGATGTCTGTTGGTCCCCATAGTTCAGGAGCTGATGCCGGTAGCGAGAATAGCCTTCTTTTCCGGTACTTTGCTAGGTCCCAGAAATTGAGGATTTCTGGCTCCTGGTACCAGTGCCCAGACCCACATCGCTGGATATGGTACAGTGATGCGGGTAATGCAGCCAAGGAGATCGACCACATACTCGTTAGCACTTGTTGGATCCTTCAGAATTGCAGGGTGTACAGGAGTGCTGAGTTCTGTGGTACGGACCATAGATTGGTTGTGGGTACCCTCCGGGTCCACTTCAAAACTCCCCAGCAGTCAAATGATCACCCTAGGGTGTTTCATCTGGACAGGCTGAGGGAGGGGGAATGTGCCCGCGGGTTTGCTGAGGCAATCTCTGATCGTTTCGCAATGCTTGACAGTCTGACAGACCCTGTTCTTCTGTGGGATACCTTTAAGCGTGAAACGCTTGATGCAGCTCAAGATACGATTGATGTACGCCCGAGAGCAATACAGAATTCCATCTCACAGGAGACACTGGAAGCCACAGATGCATGTCGTGCGGCTCGTCTGACAGGGGATCGGGAATTGCACCGTTCTCATGTGCGCAGAACTCGGTCCCTGTTAAGAAGGGACAAAGAAGTTTATTAGGAGTCTTGCAGAGGAGGTAGGCCATTTCTTAGTAAATGACCTTCGTCCTGCATACCAAGCCCTGAGAAAGCTGAACTCCAAGCCCTCTTCACAGGTGACATCAGTTCGCTCAGTAAGTGGTCAGATCGTTTCAGATCCTGTTGCGGTGCGGGAACGTTGGGCTGAGTATTTTGAGCAGCTGTACCAGGTTGACCCACCAACAGCTAACTTGGATGCGGGTAGTGTCAAGATCCCGCTGCCAGATCCACCCATCAGTGAGGACCCTCCCTCCCTAACTGAAGTTAGGGGGACGATTTCCAAGCTGAAGAGTGGTAAAGCAGCGGGTATCTGCGGCATACCAGCTGAACTGTTAAAGGCTGGTGGTGAACCTATGGCACGGGGGTTACATGTTGTCCTGGCTGCCATCTGGCGGTCCGGTTCCGTTCCTCCTGACTTGTGGGGTGTGGTCATCCCTCTCTGGAAGGGGAAGGGGGACCGTTGGGACTGCAGCAATCACCGAGGCATCACACTGCTCAGTATACCAGGCAAGGTTCTGGAGAGACTGGAGCAATCCGGATTCACTCCTGGTAAGTCCACAATAGACCGTATCCTCGCGCTTCGAGTCATTGTAGAGCGCCGCCGTGAGTTCGGGCGTGGGCTGCTTGCAGCCTACATCGACCTCAAGAAGGCGTTCGATACGGTGCATCGGGAGTCACTTTGGGAGAACCTGAGGCTGAGAGGAAATCCAACAAGGATTATTGGACTAATAGCAAGCCTGTATACTGATACTGAAAGTGCTGTAAAGTGTGGTGGGGGCCTGTCGAACTTCTTTCCTGTTAGTTCAGGAGTGAGGCAAGGCTGTGTCCTTGCACCAACTCTTCAACACTTGCATGGACTGGATACTGGGCAGAGCTACTGTTCAAAGTCATTGTGGAGCAACACTGGGTAATATCAAGGTTACAGACCTTGACTTTGCTGATGACGTTGCCATTCTATCTGAGTCTTTGGAAACCCTAGTGGCGGCTCTGGATGCATTTAGCAATGAAGCGAAGCCCTTAGGTCTAGAGGTCTCCTGGACCAAGACCAAGGTCCAGGAATTTGGGGACTTGTTAGGAGAACCTGTTCAGTCGGTACGTGCTTGTGGCGAGGACATTGAAGTCACAGAGAGCTTTACATACCTTGGT